TCCGCGACATATTGTTGAATAGTTGTATCATTAAATATAGGAAGAATTTTATAAGGGTTCACCGCTACTAGTACGGAGTGGTTTATACGTGTATAAATATTATCATTTTGATAACGTTCGCGAATCGTTGACGTTATTGACTCGAGAGATATATTTTGTATTGTTGAAAGGTCCGCTTTATCCCCCGCTGAGGAAGCATTCTTTTTTTTACCCATTATGATTGGGTATCAAAAAATTTAACTTATATAATATATATATTTTTTTTCTTACTTATTTTGTTTTTTTTTTTTTTTTGTTTTTTTAAAAAAAATTATTTTTTAAATAATAATAATGAAAATGAAAATGAAAAAAAAAAAAAATCCTCTCTCTTTCCCTTAAATAATATTAAACCTTCAACGTGTTGTAAAGGAAGAAGGGAAGAAGGAGTAAGGGGAGGATAGGTTTGAGGAAGGATGATTAAAGTAACAAAAATATGCGATTAAAGTGTTACTTGAAAAATTTGTGTATAATGGGTAATGTATTCAAGCAGAAATATATTTATTGAGCAATTAAGGATTAGGTTCAACAACAGTTTTTTGATGCGATATAAATAATAGTTATTTATAGTATATGTTATTATTTCCCTTGCGGCTAAATATTTTCTTTAAATTCAATTCGAAAAAGTTATTTATTATTATGTAGATGATTTGATTTTAAATTACACAACCTAAAAAAATCAAAAAATAATGTCTCATACATACATTAAAGTGTGATGGTTAAAAGGGGTATTAATCTACCCAAGAGTTATGATTTGTCCTCCTTATTTCCTTTTTTTTTTTTTTTTTATAAATAAATAAATAAATTAATTAATTTCTCTGATGATGAAGAACTAAATGAAAGAGAGTGAGTAAGAAAAGGTGAAATGATCCTTTTGATTCCTTCCATGTTAATAAATACCTTTTTAATTAATTTTATTTTTAAATACAAGATAAGACGAAACAGGTCATAGATTTTGAGGGAAAAAAAATTTTTTTTTACTCGATAACGGGATATTAGATGTTTCACGAATTTTATGTTGGCCAAACATAATATTGAAATTGTACTATTTGTCTGTTGTGCATGATCCACGAGGAAAAAAAGAAAAGTTTTTTTTTATAAAAAAAAAATGAAATAAAAATAAAATCAAAACTAGTCTTAATTAATATCATAAATATCATAATCTATAAAATAAAATAAATATACCAATTTAAGAAGACAAAATCGGTAAGGAGAATTTTGATTAAAAACTTGTTGAGGGGCGAAGTACACGGGAGATATTCCAGCATGGAAATTTATTATTGAAGCGGTCATTCTGTCGGATGTAATAATAACTATAAATAGACAAATTACATTATTTGATCACAAAAAACCGAGCCCATACATTTTTATATTTTCTTTATCTAGAATTGTGAATTGATCTTTTATTATTGTTCGGATTTAAATTAAGATCATCGGTATTTATAAATAATGTTTCCGAAAATGGCACGATCATTTTGATCAAATGAGGGCAAAAGATTTTCGCTAGCTATAACATTTAAATCTAAGCCTTTAGATAATATTTAGCTTGTATTTGGGAAAAAAAAATAAGAAGTTTGTATTACAATATGATTATCAAAATAATAAAATTAGTATGACAGGTAAAATATTTAACGAATAACTTTTTTTGGTGCGAAATCATATGTAGTTTATTTTTAATCAAATTTTCAACGAAAAGATTCAGTCAAGACAAAAACCTTAAAAAAACGTGCATGCGAATTTTTAAATACTGAAAAAAAAAATAATATTTATTTTAATGATCCCATGAAATTAAAATTAGAAATCTAAAAATATAAATACGCCCTTATTAAAACTTACTCTCAAATATTAGTAACTATGTTCACACCAACCGTCCCATCAAATGACGTAAAAACCAATAATCCAGATTTATTTATATGCCAGTCAATAGACGCCACAGGTTGCCCCGTCACGGTTGCGCTAGCCATCAATTTCAACGTTTTGCTTTTTATCTGATACAGATTGATTGCCCCAGAACCAGTCGAAGTCATGAAACAATCTAACGCTTGGGGAACATGACGTATACACCAAATAGTTGCATCTTCCTATATGATAACCCGAAAAGTTATTTTTTTATTTTAAAGAAAAATTATAAAAAATTCATTGCTCGCCTGTTCTCCGATGCTTAATGGTTTCGGATTATTCTGATCGATGGTTTCAAAAATGTGTATATTTTTAAGAGAGCCAATAGCTAACCTATTAAGTTTTGTATATTGGTGATCAAACTCCAAAGATGCGGCCTGTTATAAATAAGTCAAATGTATTTATTAACAATTAGAAAAAAAGAAATAATCTTCTTTAGGGGAATTCGGAAAATCATACCCCAGATGAAATTGTTAATTCCGATAGTATCGACATTGTCTTTAAATCAAATAATTTTACTTCACCATTGTCATAACCAATTGCCACTACTCGTTCTTCATTGTTCCACGCGTTTCCTACAGTAATTTATATCAAGATATCAAGTTGGCTTTATTTTTTACACGTGTTCAATATAAAAAAAAAATAATCATAATAATCATAAAATGCACGTACCAAAAGCGACACACCAGGCATCACCTGCTTTTTCGGCCGAACCAATTTTAACAACGGGTTGATTCTTTTGTCTGATATCCCATATTTTGACAGTTCCTAAACTGATCCAAATTTATACGTGTCAATTGCTTTTAAGAATAAGAAAATTTCATCTAATTTATAACTTACCGTCTCTGCTTGCAGTTGCTAATTCTGGTGGACCATGTGAAGATGTAATCGATCCGCCACATCCGGCGATATCGTTAATAATACTTGAATGAGCTTTGATAGAAAAAACTGGCGCCTCAGTATGTTCAAGATCCCTAAAAAAAAAAAATAATGACGAATTTAAACGAATAGAAATAAAGAACTAGAACTTAGTTTTCTTGATAATTAATTACCACAGAGCAAGACGTCCATCAAAGTCTCCAGTCGCCAAATGACGCGAATTAAGGCTTGATGCACCAAAAGTTCCACATTTTAGTGCGCCTCCGGTTTCACGCTATTTTCATTCTTAAGTATAAGAATTGATAATAGCAAAAACATTTTTAAACCTGTTAATAGCAACAAAGGTGATTTACCTCTTCAACTAATACTAATTCTTGTTCATCAAGTTCATAAACTTGAAATAAGCCGGTGCCTCTAGGGTGCTGCCCTAAGACTACAAATTTGGCTGAAGAAGGTATCCACCTAACGGCATATGTGCTATCCGAATCGGAAAGTATGATTTAGCATTCAAACATGAAAGGTCAGAAACATCGCAAAAAAATTTTATCATTTACCCAAAAGTCAATTTTTTTGTTAAATGAGTAAATATTTCTGGTTTTTTATGAACCGTCGTCATCCTTTTTTTTATTTATGAGGAACAAGAAAAGTTCAAGCTTATCGAGATGATAATCTTATTTAAAGATCTGAGATTGTGTTACAATAATTTGATGCGCGTTAATCCATGACCTTTTTTATTTTTAACCTTTTTTTTTTTTTTAATGATATGGTGGAAACACGAAATAGCAAGCTAAAACAAAAAAACAAAACCGTACGGATAGTAGGGAAAAGGACATCAAAACACATTGAAACTGAAATTTCAACACAGCCCACAAAACGCGCCCGTAAAACAATTGTTAAGGAAGTGACTGTAGAGTCAGAATCAGGTGTGACAAAGATTGAACCGACGTTATCTAGCATTCATTCGAAACTTGCAGTTCAAGCATCCAAGAAAAGAGCAGCCATACTTGAAAAATATTTACGAGTTAAAGAATATGACCGTGGAGATATTATTTTGGGGATAAGAGTACCTGATGTTAGATCAATTTCAAAAAATCTTGGCTTTTTGCCATTTACGGTTCTAAAAGATCTTATAAATTCAAAATATCACGAGGAAAGGCTATTATCGGTCATTAACTTGGTTGATAAATATAAAATCTCTAAGGATTCAGAAGAAAAAAAAATTTTATTCGAATTCTATCTTAATGATATGAGAGAGGGTATTGATAATTGGGATTTGGTTGATATCTCAGCAAGTCACGTAGTTGGTTCTTATCTTATAGATAAGCCCGAACTTAAAAAAACATGGCTGTTTGGAAGGTTGGTAAATTCAGATCGCCTTTGGGATAGGAGAATTGCAATAGTATCGACATTATATTTTATTAATCAGGGTCAGTTTGAAGATACGACAAAATTGTCTGAAATATTATTAAATGATGAGAAGGATCTAATTCATAAGGCTACAGGATGGATGCTAAGAGAAGTGGGCAAGGTAAATCTAAATAAAATAACTTCAAAAGTTGATAATACTAGCAAATTTAAAAAATTTAAAAAATAATTCTATTCTATAGAAATCTAAGAAAAATCTTGTTAATTTTTTTGGACAAATATGCAGTTAAAATGCCAAGGGTAATGTTGAGGTATAGTTTAGAGAAATTTTCTGACCAGGAAAAGAAAAAGTACATGCAAAAAGGAAAAAAGTAGAAATCTAAATATATTTCTATTTCGAATGGTTTAATTATATTACAAGAAAAGTTGATGAAAAGTAATCTTAGATATTTTTATTCGACCTACCTATGAACGCCTTGTCTTTTTACTTTTACGTGTTGACCTCCTTTGCTTTGCATTGTCAGAGTTGACTTCTTCTTTTATAGATGATGACTCGTTTAACTCGTTTGTTATTATCTCCTGACTCTAATCATTTATAATAAATTTTTAATTTTCAAACGTTATACTTCGATTAAAAAACCATTATTCTTATTATTATTATTTTTTTTTTTTAAAAAAAAAAAAAAAAAAAAGAAACAAAGAAAAAACCTCTTCATGTTTCTTTTTCCGTATTTCGACTATTTGTGCTTGTACATCTGCTAGTTCATCTTGCAAATGACGAAGCTCTTCGTATTTTGAATTTAGGGCTGATAACATAATATTCAACAGATGGTTATTAGAATTCGTCAACGCGTTTGATTTCTCGTTAAACGTTCTTACTTGTCTGTGGCTTTATTCATAATGGTTTTATCAATAGTTAAGTAATTTATTTACGTTATAAATTTTTTATGTCAAAAGAAATCATTGGAAAGTAATACCTACATCTTCCGGTTTTGGTAATTCTATCTTGTTCCATTCTTCTTCCGGGATCTCGAATCTATAAAAGTATTAGTTAACATATTTGTTGTATAAATGGAAAGAAACCTTTTGATTAATATACTTTATTCACTTACAATTCCTTATTTTTTTGAATTCTACGTTTGATTTCCTCACGTGATGGTCTATCTATAAACACATATGGTCACATTAACTTGGAAACCGTTAAGGGTTCGTCAAATCTATAAATTACAAGAAACTTACTTCCAGTATTGACAATGCAATTGTTTTTACGTTTTATGTTCAGTCCTTGGATTTTTGAATTTTTTTCTCCAATGACCAACGGGTCAATGTGCAAACCGGCAAATTCTTTTTTTTTTTTAGACAAAGGAATTATATTGGAATTCTTTTAATAATGCGTTGACACGAAATGAAGATTCAACTTTTTTTTTTACTACCTGCTGTACTTTGCTGACCCAACATTCTTTGTAATTGCAAATTCATTTGAGCATTGGTTTTTCCCGGTAGACAATTTGAGCCAATAATTTGTGCCCAATTTCCAATTCCATATTTCATGAGAGCTTTCCGTAAAATGTCGCATTCATCTCTGGACCAACCTAAGAAAGAAATAAAATGGTATAATCATTACGGATTATAATCTTTCAGATATTTGTAAATGTTACCTGGAGAAAGTGTACAATTCCAAAGACTTGCCGAGTCATTTGAACGTAACACATTTCGAGGACCAGTCGGCATGCTTTGAGGTTTTTTGGTTTCTTCAATAATTGGAGTCATCATTTATTTTGATAATAAAGGAAGATTATTTGTAATTTTTTATTTTTATTTTTTTAAAAGGAAGTAATGGTTCACAATATTTAATAAGATATAGACGAAAGAAAAATTGTATTAGTTGTAAACCGTACCGCTCAATTAATTTCGGGAGTTTTTATCAACACGCGTTTATTAATTAGGACGATCGGCGAAATTCCCGGATGAATTCCGCGGAACACGCATCGGATTCCGGATTTCACGCGTCAAATTGCTCCCAAAAGGGATGTTCTAATACATTTTTCATTTCTTTTACGACGACTTTTCTGTTTTCAATATTATCATCTATATCATAATGTAAATAATGTAAAACATTTATATCCATTTCTTTTAAATAACTATACAGCTTATCATAATGCAATGCAACCTTTAAAACCCCGTGACTATCATCTGAAATTGTACACTTTCCTCCCTTTTTTAAAATCATCTTGTTTTTTAATTTTTTTTTTTTTTTTTAAAAAAAAAGAGGGTTAAAATTTTATCAGGTCACAATTCATCTTAAAAGTTAAGGATTAACTTACTTGTAAAATATCTCGTTGTGGGTAAGCATCAGGTAATCCAACTTTAAATCCCGCAGAATTAATTTCAAATAAACCACCGTAATTTATAACATAATCTATATTCCTCTCCACCTTTTCCCAAATTAAGTCAGTAAAAATAAAATTAGGACGATAAATTCTTATTACATCAAAATGACCAACAATCATTGGGTTAAGATCTTGCAACATCTGATATTGAGAATCAAAATACGCTACAAATAAATTTTCCTCATGAATATTTTCAATCTGTTGTTTATTTTCTTCAAAAGATGACTTTGAAAGGGCAATTTCAAACAATTCCAAGTCAAAATCAATTGGAGTTTCGTGTACATGATGAACAGATCCAACAGAATAATCAAGTGAATATTTCTTTATTAAGTCGAGAACTTCAGAAGTCGAAGTATTGGTTATTGTCTCGGATTCTAACCCAACTAATAGAGTTATCTGAGATTTATATTTTTCCTGTAACCTACGTGCTTCTTTTACAAATTCTTCAAATGCTTTTGTTAAATCTGATGGCTGAAGATGGGACTAAGGTAAAGATAAAAGGTAAGTAAAATGTATAATATATAAACATCTTTGTCTTTTTGATTTACCTCTTCGGGATACAAATCTTGTACTCTATATCTTGGACAATGTTCAGACAATCCATATACTAAAAATTTCTTTTTAATGGCCTCCTGAACGATCTCCTCTAGCATTCCTGTCGCATGTTGACAAAATTGACCCGAATGACTGTGAAGAGAGAAAGGCATGGTTTCGCTTACTGGACTATCAGAAATTCCCAGCCAATAACGTTTAGTTTGAAATTGAAAAAAAACTTTAAATCTGTTTTTTATAGTAAATTTTTTTTTAAAAAAAAGGTGTAGATTCATTTTATTTTTAATGGTTTCGAAATCTGATGCAGATCTCAAGAGATATGATTGGCTGAAATTTGTATCGGATTCTGCACCAAACGCACCGTTCAATTCTGGATCGGATCGTTCGGATCGGAAAAAAAAGTAACAAATCAAATCGAAGTTACAGTTGAGCACAATTTGTACGGCTCGATCGAATCATGTTGTAAACAATAGCCCTGTTCAATTCTAGACCGGATCGTTTGGACCGAAAAAAATGATTGGTTGTCGTGTACCGATATCGATCCGATCAGGGTGAACACCAAATCTGATTTGATCGGTTTGATTGCGATCAGTCGATCCGGTCTAGAATTGAACAGGGCTATATAGTCCTTCGCTTCGCTCAGGACAACAAAAATCAAATGAAATTAATTCTAATATTTTACTTTAAATAAATTAAATTAAAGTTATATCAAATTTGGTCTGATCAAATTAAAAATATAGATCAACTTATAAAAATACGGAAAGATATCTCAGAAACCAACTCTTTTACGTATGTGATTCTAAAACAAATAGTAAATAAAAAAAACATATAATATTGCCCAAGAACCATGAGTAAATTAGAAAAATAACCCTAAAGAATTAAACAACTAAATTAAATATCATTCAAAGGCTTACAAAAGAAAGTAAAGCAAAATAATCTTATACCTTTGGGTTGATATCTTAAAAAAAAAAAAACTACAGGATCACGATCACATATACAATTTCAACTAATGGTAAAAGCAAATGGTGATATATGAAATATATAATCTATCAAAAATATCCAGGCAACACGTATTGTAATTTCTTTATTTGCTCAGCTTTCCTTGATTCCTTACTTGTAACAAAAGAGTAACTCGCATTTCCTTTAATTGATTCAAATTTCCCATCATTTAACGCTTGTTCTAAATCCGGCAAAATTGTCTCCAATAATCTTTTAGCTTGCGCTGAATTTTGCAACATAACATTCATAACAGCATCAACAGTAACGTCTTCTTCGCCTTGTTTCCAGCAATCATAATCAGTCGACATGCAAACCATTTGATAGGCTATTTCTAGTTCTTTAGCTAACTTAGCTTCTGGTATGGCAGACATATTAACTACGTCACAATCCCAACTACGATACAACTTTGATTCAGCTCTAGTGCTAAAAGCTGGACCCTCTATACACACCAATGTTTTCTCTTGATGTAACGTACTTCCTTCTTTTTCTAAAACAGATTTATGTCTATAAATTAAATCTGACAATGTTTGATTAAACGGATCAGCAAATGAAACATGTGCTGCTAAACCATTTTCAAAAAATGTTGAATGACGAATCCCTTTGGTACGATCTATAATTTGATCTGGTAAAACGAAATCTTTTGGTTTAATTTCTTCGCGTAAAGAGCCCACAGCTGAAAATGCTATAATAACTTCTACGCCGATATGTTTAAGTGCTGCTATATTGGCTCTCGATGGAATTTCGGAAGGATTATATAAGTGCCCTTTGCCATGTCTGGCTAAAAATGCAATTTTGAATCCGCGTGGATCTTGAACTATTACGATTTCACCACTAGGATAACCCCAAGGCTAATAATGTAAAAAGAGGGACATATCTTTAAAAAGAATTGAAAATACTCAAGAAAACTTGCAAGTACATGCTTACTGTTTCAGGAAAAGACCTTTGAATTACTTTCAAATTATCAAATTCATACAGTCCACTACCACCGATAACACCAATTCTTATACCATTATTACCTGCCATTTTTTTTTTTGGATTGAAGCAAAGAGATGTAAAACCCTTTGTTCCTTGTATGACATTTTTGATGATGTGTAACCTCTGAAAATCTTTAATCCGCTAACACAAATAAATACACAATTGTTGAACCTCATTGACGCAGTTTTTATAACTTCTTTAAATTTATTAAATTTATAAATTTATTTTCGGAATTTCCTGTTATAGGCTTACATTTTAAAGATGTGATCATTTAAGGTTACATCTTAATGGCTTTTTGATTAATTTCTATAAATTATTGTTATTGTAGCTCAATTTTTTTTCCCTAAATATTGTAAATATTGTATTAATTAATAACATTCATTCTTTTTTATTTTTATCCTTTTTTTGTAAATTTTGTAAATTTGTATAAATATATAAAATTTAAAAACGCACGATAAAATTTAATTAAAAAAAATCATTATTGTAATATTGTTTTGTATTTTTATATTTAACATTATAAAAATTTCTCTTTTGTATAATATATTTAACTTAAACGAAGCATAATAAAGCATGGCATCTACTCAGTCTGTTTCACTTGGTGATATGGGTGATCCCTTAAAACCATTTGCTCCTCAAAATGAAACTCCGGAGGATAGGCGTCAACGTATAATGTTAGAAAAAGAAGCAAGGAAGAGAAGTGAAGCTATTGACAAACAAATTAAGGCTGAAAAGGAACAATTAGAAAAACAAAAAGTAGCAAAATTATTACTGTTAGGTGATAACTTAGTATTTGATACCAAGTATTTTTTTAAATGAATAATTATATTAACATTGTATTTCATTCTTTATCTAATAAAAGGTTCATCGGAGAGTGGTAAAACGACTGTACTTAAACAACTAAAAATTATTCACGGAAAAGGTCTAGAGGATGAACGCAACCAATATCGAAGAATTGTTTACCTTAACATTCTTACTGCAATGAAAGCCTTGACCAGTGCTCTTGCAAATCTTGGTTATACATTAGATCCTAAAAATTTAGTTCATCTGCAAAAATTTAGTAAATTAAATTCAGTGAAGGATTCATTAAACCGCAATTCAATTAGCGTTCAAGCGGCAATTCAAGATGCTAAATTGGACGATGATGCATTCCAATTATTCACAGAACACGCTGAAGGGATCATAGAATTATGGAAGGATTCAGCAATTCGAAAAGCTTACAAACACGCTAGCGAAATTGGGCTACAGGATTCGGCAAAATAGTAAGTCGTTTTCTTTTTCGTAATTATCGATTTTCTGGCTAATTCTACGTAATAATAATAATAATAATAAAACTATTACTACTACTACTATTATTATTATTATAGCTTTTTAGACAATGTTGAACGTTTTGCTCAAAAGGATTATTTACCTACTGATGAAGATATCTTACAAGCTCGAGTTCGAACAATCGGTGTTAGTGAACACAAATTCGAAATAGACGGGGTTACATACAAGTAAGTTTGTTTTTGTGAACTTAATTATATTAAAATCAATAATATTAACTACTTTTCGTTCTTTAGGATTTATGATGTAGGCGGTCATCGTTCTCAACGGCATTTTTGGGCGTAAGTTTGTTATATAATCCTCTGCTGGTTTTTTTTAATCAAATTTTTCTTTTTTCTAAATAATTTCATATTCTCTTTAGTCCTTATTTTGATGATGTGAATGCTATAATTTTCATGGCTGCAATCTCAGCATTTGATCAACCACTTGAGGAAGATCCGAATGTTAATCGTATGGTTGATGCAATTCATCTGTTCGAAAACATATGTAATCATAAATTATTTATAAATACGAGTATAATCTTGTTTCTTA